TTGTCAAGCAAACAAAAACTGAGTTAATCTGCATTAGGAGAAATTGTAAAGGAAGTGTTTAAGGCAGAAGGAAGATGATCCTACTTATAAGATCAGCAATACAAACAGTAATGAAGAAATAAAACCTGGGTAAAATTAATGAACACTGGCTGTACAAAACAAGAACAGTACTATTTTATAAGGTCTTTGAATTAAATTTCAAATAAAGGACAATAGCAAAAATATACACAGAGTGCATTACTTCCAAATGAATAAAAATGAAAAGATTAAAAAGTAAAAACAAGAGACAACCAAAAAGAAGAACAGATATGACAAAGAATATAAAGTAAAATGGTAGGTTTAAATGTATATACTTATCAGTAATTCAAACATGTAAACAAATGGTTAAATCAAAAAAGGGCAAATTTGCCCTAGCCAGTTTGGCTCAGTGGACCGAGCATCAGCCTGCAGACCAAAGGGTCCCGGGTTCGATTCTGGTCAAGGGCACATACCTTGGTTGCAGGCTCCTCCTCGGCCCAGGCCCTGGTCAGAGATTGTGCAGGAGGCAACCAGTGGATGTGTTTCTCTCACATCAACGTTTCTCTCTGTCTTTCCCACTCTCCCTAAAAAAAATTAATGGAAAAATATCCTCAGGTGAGGATTAACAAAAAATAAAAATAAAAAAGGAGGCAGATTTTAAGGAATCCAACTAAATTTCCAGCAGATACTTCTTTTAAAAAAGGGTACAGAACAAAAATAAAACATAGCATAACAAAATTTGGACTTAGAACTAAGACAATGCTTAAAGGGAAACTCTTGACATCAAATCCTACATTAGAAAAGAAGGATCTCAAGTTAATGGCCTCTACTTTCATTTTATGAAAATAGAAAAGAACAAATTAAAACAAAAGCATGTAGAAGGAAGGAAATAAATAAAGACAAAATAAATCAATGAAATAGAAAGAGACAAACATATATAGAGAGGGAAAAAGACAAAACAAAACCAAGAAACCAAGCAATGTTTTCTTAAAATAAAAGTATTAGATCTCTAGCTAGACTGCTAAGAAAAAAAAGACAAAAATTACCAGTATCAAAAATAAGAGATGACATAAAGGTATGAAGGGGATAACAAAATATTATGAACAACTTTATACCAATAAATTCACCAATTTAGATGAAATGAGCATATTCCTCAAGTACACAAACTACCAATGCTCACTCAAGAAGAAATACAAAATATAGATAGTCCTAGAGCTATTGATAATACTAAATTTGCAGTTAAGAACCTTGCCACAAAGGTAACTCTAACAAGATTTGAGATCTCACTTAAAAAAACCACTGCATAAACCAAGGGGTGAGAAGGGACAGATTACAGAGAGAAAAAAAGAAGAGGAGGGAAAGAGGGAGTAAGAAGAAATAAAGGAGGTAAAAGGAGAGAGAGGAAAGAAGACCAAGACCTCAAGTTGAAACTTTAGGAAATTCACACTAGTGAGCCTGTTGGAGTGCTATTTATGAAAGTTTAATCCACCCTTTTTTCACAAAAGTAAACTTTTATTTTAAAAGGAAATAAGATAAATACTGCAAAAAGAGGTTTTCTTTGATAATTTCCTGTTTAGGTGATTACTTTTGCCCATCATCACTGGATTCTTCCTTTTTCCCCTGGCATTGTCAGAAAGGAAGTGGCAATGACTGGTTCAGGAATCACCTTTAATGTAAAGATATTTCTAGGCAAATATAAAGCTAATTAGAGACACTTTCTTAAAATATAGACCATACTTGAAGAGTGCAGTAATATACCATATATATATATATATATATATATATGAATGATAATTTTTGTTTCCCCCATTATAAGATGCTTTGGATTCTCTAGACTTTCCTATTTAGCAAGGATGATAATTTTTGTTTCCCCCATTATAAGATGCTTTGGATTCTCTAGACTTTCCTATTTAGCAAGGAGGAACTTCCAACAAATTATCATCAGTGAAGTCAGCAGCAAACTGAACAACCCTGGAAAGAATGTTTATTAACTAAACACTGTTGCAAGCCAGTTGAGTACAAAAAATTTGACTTGGCTCTAAGTCTCAAGAATAGTTACTACCAATTTAACTTGGTTCCTTCCTAGAGCAGAAAAGATAGTATATGAGTTGGACATGATTTTAAGAAATTCTCTTAAATGAGTATATAGCTAATCAGTTTTAAAATGTAACTGCTTTTAGCCTAAGAATTACAGAAAGTTGTCAGTAGTTATTGTTGCTATTGTTGTTTACTTTACTTTAACAAAATATTACAGGACAAGAATTTGAAATAAAACAAAAACCTCATAAAATTACTTGTGTCTTTCTTATTCTGTAAGTTTAAAAAATATATATAATTCATTTTCTGAAATGGCATACATGCATACACATATACTTTCACTAGTGGCAGTTTAATGGTTTGGGGAGGATTATCATATATATTTTATTTGTTTATATTCCAAAGCATATTCTATTTCATACATAATAATCACTTATTTGCAGGCATCATTACCAATTAAATAAGCAGTAACAATGTACAAGGCTGAGAGGCAGGTTTATTGTTGTAACTCAATGGAGCTAGAAGCACCTCAATTTAAGTTAACTTTAAATTTATAAAGAAGGCAGTACTAGTTCTGTTTCCTTCCTTTGTAAAATGCTACCAATATCTGATAAGTGAGTACCTAATAGTATTAGATGATAACAGTGATAAGATTAAAATATATAAAAACATTGAGAAAGTCTATGGTTCTTTATTTCTTTCTATAAAAGATTCACCAAATTTTATTCCACAAGTTTTATATTGAGCATTAAGCAGCTTTTACTCACAATGCTTTTGATACCAAATGTATGGGGGTTTTTCTTACAGCAACCATTTCTCTAATTCTGACACCAACGAGGTATCCAACAATTCAATTTAATGCTGACATTATCTATCTGGAGTTAAGCATCAGATTCCACAAATTAAACAGCTCAGTCCCACAAGATGATCCCCACTTCAGATGCCAAGCACAAGTCCCAGAGGTCACAAATCAAGGCTTCCCACAACTCTCCTCAAAGTTCAATAACTCAGTGTGATCACATAATTCAGGAGAGTGATTTACTTACTATTATTATAAAGGATACAACTCAGGAATAGCCAAATGGAAGAAAGGCATAAGGCAAGGTATTGGGAGCAAGTGTGTGTGTATAGCTTCCATGCCCTCCGTAGGCATACCACTCTCCCAGCACTCTGATGTGATCACCAAATTGAAAGCTCTTTGAGCCAAGTTGTTTAGGGCCTTTTTTTGTTGAGGTTCCGCTGGCTGTTGGTGACTAAAATCAATCTCTGACCCCTCTCCCCTCATTAGAGGTAGTGAGGGAGGTGCTACTGAAATTTCCAGCCTCTAATCACATGTTTTGGTCTTTCTGGAGATCTGAAGCTATCTAGGAACCCAGCCACCAGTCATCTCAGCAAGCAAGACACTCTTATCCCTCCACAGATTCCAAGGGTTATAGAAGCTGTGTGTGCCAGGACCTGTACAAAGACCAAATATATATATATATTATTTCAGAAGCACCTATTCTGTTCTTTGTCACCATGGAAATCATTGTGGGAAACTGTTTTTAAAGGATGCCATTGTATAAAGCAGAGATTTTCAACTGGTATGCAATTTCAAAACATACAATACCTATTTTTTTCATTGGTTTCAGAGAGAAGGGAGGAGAGAGAGCTAGAAACACCAACGATGAGAGAGAATCATTCATTGACTAGCTGCCTCCTGCATGCCCATACTGGGGATCGAGCCCACAACCCTGGCATGTGCCCTACTGGGAATCAAACTGTGACCTCCTAATTCATAGGTCAACGCTTAACCACTGAGCAACACCAGCCGGGCGCAATGCCTGACTATTTAGTCTAGGGCACTAACCTCTTTTCTCTTAGATTGTCAAATAAAAAAATGACAGCTGTTAACACAGCAATGGCTGTTCAATGTGAATAAATCAAAATTATATATTTTCTTTTGTCAGACCTGCAAAACATATATTTTGGTGTGCTGCAGAATTTTAGTAATTAGTTTATGTGTGCCATGGGATGAAAAAGATTGAAAACTGCTGCTATAAAACAACAACAGAGATCCTTTGTAAAATAACAAAACATATCAGACCTTAAATATTCAAATGGGTGTCATCCTACAACAGTTACTTTGCGAGATTACATTATGTTCTAACATCCACATTTCTTTCAAAACCCAAGAATATCATCAATTATATAGCATTCACACCACACAGAAGATGTTTCTATTATAAATTTCCTCATTCATTATAACTGTCTATTAATGACGTTTTTGGCTTATCCAACCATCTCTTTCCTCAAATTACACTATTATTTTTTATTAAATATATTTTATTGATTTTTTTACAGAGAGTAAGGGAGAAGGATAGAGAGTTAGAAACATCGATGAGAGAGAAACATCCATTAGCTGCCTCCTGCACACTCCATACTGGGTATGTGCCCGCAATCAAGGTACATGCCCTTGACCGGAATCGAACCTGGGACCCTTCAGTCTGCAGGCCGACACTCCACTGAGCCAAACCGGTTAGGGCCAAATTACACTTTTAAACAATGACAATTTGCTACCAACAAAAATAACGTAAATAAATAGGCTACTAATACTGAGGATAACATTAAAAGCCTTTTCCAACATGGTTTAGTGCTAGTCAATGTTACCATTCATTTATAAGTGCATGGTTTCCCAAGAAGACAACTTAGATTTAGCTATGTGATTCAATGTGCTTCTTTTTTGTTTTTCAAGTTTCATTACATTGTAGACCTATCTTAATAAAAGAGGTTCCTAACCAAGGATCTAACAATCTTTACAGAGTAAAACACAAACAACAACAACAACAACAAAAATAAAATAAAGAAAACTAATAACTCACATAAGCGTACATTCTTTTTTAAAGTTTCTTGAATATATTTGAAATCACACTAATAACCAACTAAGTTTAATGTCAATAACATACCATTTACAGCTTTTTCAATCAGCTCTTCACAAGCATCAAAATCACCCTTCAACACCAGTTTATCATGCAGATCTGTTAACATAGGATGTTCCAGGGCAATCTTGGTTTTCTTCTGTAGTGATTCAAAGGCTTCTGTATAATTGTGTTGTCTAAAGTGTTTTAGGCAGAGACGAATGGCTTCCTGTTCACGGTACTACTGGAACACAAGAGAAAATATGAAAAGAAGAGATTTGCTTAGTTATTACTATAAGAATAATAAGTGACAACTAACAAGCCTAAAGTGAGCATTTATTATGTGCTAACCCTATTCCTTATATCATTATTTTCACTTTTAAATGGCAAAACTGATGCTTAATCAAGTATAATAACCTGTCAAAGGTCACAAAGTATGTAACAGAAAGATATGAATGAGATAAAGATATATGATATAGCTTTCATGAAGATGAAAGATATGGATGAAACCAGACCTAATTCTACAGCCTCAACTTTCAAGAAAAGCAGAAAAACTATTTATGAAAGCCCACTTAAGACTGCAAAAATTATAACTTCCTGGCTTTTACTAATCAGATTATAATGTTGGTACTGAAAGCATAGAAACCATTAAATAATATACATAAATTATATTATGTTTTTTATTCTTGGTTCTTTAGTATTAAGTTATTACTTGAGTGACAAATATTATCAAATATTTATGTATTTTAAATTCACAAACAGGTTTTATGACTCAAAATCATGAGAAAGAGACTACTTAAATTGTATAATTTTTTCTAATCCTCGACTACTTCATCTATTTAAACAGCAATAAGTAAAAATCTCAATGAACTAGAATTCCAAAACAAGAATGTTTAATTTACTAAATCTTTCCTGAAATAGGATGAATGCCAAAAATACAAGCTCATATAAAGAATTTTTAAAGATAAACAGTAAGTTCAAGATTTCCAAATTTTCTAAATAAGAATGAACAAAACTAATGACACAGAAGCAATACATGATAATCAAACAAAAATATGATTTACTTGTAAGCAATATCTTTTAATAAAACAGGAAAATAAGATGCTACCTTTTAGGAAGCTTCCCAAGAAAAAAAAATCAGTTTGCTGATTTTTTTTATTAATAAAAGGTTATCAAAAATACTTCCTTAAGCACTATAAGATTCTCCCTCATCAAATAATAAAAGAATGATTCTATACCCAAACTTATTTTACATTATTAGTTTCTTACTCTTTGCTTGTAAATAAAGATTTATCATAACTATCCAGAACCATATTAAACAGTAATACCTTCTTATTGTGTTGACCATAGGAGTCTGAATCATATCCCTATTTAAATTTTCTATCAGGTGGCATGTTAGATACATAGTAGAGGATTTATGAAATAATAGAATTTTAATGCTTCAAAAAAGGATTGACTCTCAGAGGGTAAAGACTTTAATTTTGATTTCTAGAGGTTCAGAGTAAATATAGAGAACTTGAAAAGTGAATGTGGTTGAACAATTTTAAGTTCTCAAATATTATCTTTCCACAGTGTTGGGGAAAGAGGTAAAATTTGCAACTTCCTGAAATATCAAGAGTTCATGTGAATGTATTAAAGAAAACACACATTCATTTCATAGACTAAAGGGAAAATTCAACTATCAGAAGAGCTAAATCTTTTTTACTTAAAGAAGCACCTTTCCAAAACTTACTATCTATTATGTGAGTTACACTGTAAAGGTGCTTTTTTAACGTTTAAAAATATCGTCTTTACCTTGAAAGAATGTACAATATTGAGATCCAAAAATATACAGGAAAGTCAGCATCTATTTTAAATTGAATATAATCAAATGCCAAAAATAAATTAGTCAAAAATTTCTCAATTAAACTGACCAAAAAAGCTGAAATTCCATACAAAAATACTATATTGTTTCCCAATCTCCTATGAGTAAATCAGTTTACTCACAAATAAAAATATCAGGAACTAGTGAGTAGATTGACAAGAAAGAAGCCTTCCCCCAAATTAGCCAAGAGTCAAATAGACATTAAAAACAAAAATGAAGCATGGAAGATATTTAAAAAAAAAGCAGAACACCTAGTTCTCAATAATTTCAACTCACATTTCTCAGCCGAATCTATATAAAATGACTTATGAATAAAATCGTTAAATGTGCCCAGCCAGCGTGGCTCAGTGATTGAGCATCGACCTATGAACCAAGAGGTCACAACTCAAATCCCAGTGGGGGTACGCAGGAGGCAGTTAATCAATGATTCTCTCTCATCACTGGTGTTTCTAGCTCTCTCTCCCACTCCCTTCCTCTCTAAAATCAAAAAAATATATATATTTAAAAACTGTAAATTTTTCTTCTTGCTGTAAACACAAGATCATAATATTTATAGAAACTGTTTCAAATTCTTTAAAAGGAAAAGCAAAACTTCTTATAAAGGAATTCTTCATAGGAATGAAGGCATATATGATAAAAGCAATTTAGAACCAAAACTATCCCACTAAAAACTGTGTTTAAATATTTCAATCAATATAGGTTAAAAACAAAATTAATGGTCAGATTATAATAATATAATGGCAGATTCTGGAGCCAGAATGCCCGAGTCTATATACTGGCTTAACCACTTTATAACTATGTGATCTTAGGCAAAATACTTAACCTCTCAGTGCTCCATTTCATCATCTATAAAATACAGATAATAACTATACTTGATCTCATAGAGTGGTAATGATTTAATAAGTAATAAAGGCTGCTTAGAAGCTGAGAGAATATAAATGCATAATACAATTAGTTGATTAATCATAATTACCATTATTCTCAGTATTGTAAATTATTCTCAATGAAGACAAGAGAGTAACACAATTCTCTCTTTACGTGCATTAGAAACATGATATAAGGATTTTAAAATACGGCCCTACCTTGCTGTACCAGTTGAGACAAGGTTGTACTACATCGGGATCATCAATGCCACTAAGTTCAACATACCAGATGCTAAAGTTAAAGCTGGGTCCCCAGGATAAGAGTGGAACTTTGAGGAGAAAAAAAAAAAAAGGAAGAAAGAAAAATAAAAAAATTAACATAGTTTCAATAAAACTTTAGCAAAGTAAAATCACTATTCAAGCCTATTAGGAGTCATTCAACAAATTTTCTCTCAACACTTTCTTTGTGCCTAGCATTGTACTATTAAGTGCTGGGGCTACAAGAGCAAAATGAAACATGACTACCATCATGAGGTTTCTTTAATTATAAAAATACTAGAGGCCCTCTAGTATGCATATAAGATCTTTGGTTAATCTCTTCCCGTCCTTCCCCCCTCCCTCTGAGATTCATCAGTCTGTTCCATGTTTCCATGCCTGTGGTTTCTGCTCCTATGTTGAGTGTCTGCCTCCTGGTGGTCAGTGCACGTCATAGCTCCCGGTCAGCCAGTCGGTTGGCCGTTCGCTTAGGCTTTTATGTATATAGATTAGAGGCCCGGTGCACAAAAATTTGTGCACTGACGGGGGGGGGGGGCGGGTATCCCTCAGCCACACTTGTGCCCTCTCACAGTCTGGGACAACACGGTGGGAAATAACGACCTGCTGGCTTAGGCCCACTCCCG